AGGACCCCAGCATCGTGTAAGGCCGCCCCAAAACTCCTGTCTGTATCAGACAGGCATTTACATGGCGCCGGGGTCCTGCCCCTGCATTTGCAAAGGTTTGCTGAGAAGATTAAGAAATCTATTTGGCATTAACGCTGATCTCTGGGCAGATATTAAAGTATCATTTACCCCTGTCATATATTCAATAAAATTATTATGTATATTTTTTTTAATGAACAAGCATAAATATCAAAATCAGGCCAGAAATATCCAAAAATATATGTCTCCTTGTGCTCAGACTGAGAAGGAGGGTCAGCACTCTGAGACAACTAGAGCTCTACTGCTTTGCACAGTGCTGCCAGCCAACAGTCTGGACAGAGAGCAGCGTGATGACTTCATCGGTGTGTTGTTACTCTTTCTTTGTTTAATCACATGCTGTGGATTGATAGTTACCCGATTGTAGTGCTTAAAGTGTATCTAAAGGCAAAACTCTGTTTAGTTTTGGTTAGAACCCCTGTCACATTTTTATTGCTGTCTGTGACGTGAGGGGAAATCTCCCCAATGGGACAGATGACAAAAAACCTGGCAGGGGTTTTAATGGAGAAGTATTGGGAGAGTAAAATATATCCTTCCCAATAGTTAGAGCCGGCGTGTGACACTGTGACACTATCACATGCTGGCTCTATAGATCGAGGAGTGATCACAAACCTCTGAGGGCTCAGCTCGTGGCTTTTCCCTGCAGAGAGCAGTCATTGTCAGTCTCTGCTTCCTGCAGGAATTCTCCCTTCCTTCTCTGTTCCTGCAGTGCTCATTGAAGGCACAGACAGGGGAGGAGATGGCACAGCTGGCTCTGACTCTAGAGAGGCAGAGCCAGCTGGCAATTAGGCAACGGGGTGGATCCCAACAATATTGCCAGGATCCCTCCCGGCTGTGGCGCAGCCCTGCGCTGTCAGCATATAGCAGGCATTACTCTGCTGAGTTTGGGTCATAACAATGTATTAGTGAATGTACTGCTGTGACCTAAAAAACAAGTAAAACCAAAAAAAGTTTGGCTTTAGTTCTCTTTTAACCCTTCCCTGCTCTACCCAAAATAAAAAAAAACTTGTTTTGGCTTAAGATCTATTTTAATTCCAGTAGAGAGATATAATCCACCTGTGCAGTTATGCAGACATCCCAACTCTCCCCAACGTTCCGGGAGTCTCCCGCTTTAAGATAGCAGCTCCCTGAGGTCCACGAGAGAAACATTTTATCCCGGAAAGGTTTACTCTGCTCTATCTATCTATCTATCTATCTATCTATCTATCTATCTATCTATCTATCTATCTATCTATCTCTGCTCTCCAAGCTCTCTCCTGTGATGGACCACAACCTCAATACAAACTAAAAGTAAGATTGTAGTCCATCACGGGGGCAAGCTTGGAGTGGTGGTTACTTTACAACACACACAGGAACCATGGGGAACAAAAGTACCCACCATTCAGAAGGAAGGACAGTGTCAGCACCAATTCAGAGATGATTTGAGGTAGGGATGTTCAGATACCGGTTCCAGATACCAGTGCCGATACTACCAGGATTGCAGCGGTTGCAGCTGGGACTGGGCTCTGGTGCTCCACCACTGTCCTGAAATCATCACTGTATTGTTTTAGAAAAACTGTCACATGAGAATTAAAAAAAATATGTATCAGTACTTGTATCTGTGAGTACTTGGACAAGTATCAGTACTTATACTTGACAAAATGGTATCAGTGCATCCCTAATATATATTTAAAAAAAAAAAAAAAAAATCATACATTAAAACAGAGATGTACAAATCTCAGGAGCTCCGTATGCTCCTTAAAAATGACAGCTGCCTCCTAGCTTTTACATTTTTCACTAGTCTAGTCTTGGAGCTGGAAAAGTATCTGTACTTGGTATCTCAACATCCCTAATTTGAGGAGCTACAGCATGATAGACAAATAAGGTACAGTATTGTTAATAGCTAAAGGAAAACTATCCCCATTGTTAGAACACTGGAGAAGCGACTACTGAGGCGGGATAGGCTGTACAGAGTCCAAAGGACACCGACAATAACGATTAACAACCACGACCAGGACTTATCAGGTCTCTCCAATGTACATATGGCAGTGTTGAAAGGTAACTAGCAAAATGGCTGTAGTGTTATAACGTGGTATTTGAGGTAGTTAGCTGAGTGGTTGTAGTGCTCGCTGCATCCCAGCCGCCTGGGACTGCTTACCAAAATACAGCCAAGTGGTCGCAAACTGCCTGTCTGAGACAGCCACAGTGGTAAGGAATGACCGACCTTACCTTTTTGCAACCCATTAGCAGCAATGTTAACTCTCACTGACAAGTTTCTTAAAGAGAAAAATATATATCAACAAGACAGAATTACCAAGTGAGCCTCTGAGAAGACTGAAATTATTGTAAGCAAACAATTGGCTTACCTGCCAGCAAGTATTTCAGTGTTCCCAATGGTGGCTCAGTTAGCATCTGGTTCTCTCCTGGCTCCAAGCTCACCAAAATAACTAATGGAATTTTCCTGCACAGCTCAAAATGTTTGCCCTCTTGTTAGTCAGTAAGGCCTAATTCAAATACAGAGACCATACTGCAGTATTGGGATCAAAACACACACACACAGCAGGTGCAGGTAGAAGATGATCTGTGTTTTTATTTTTGGATTGTATTGAGATGAAATACGCAAAATGATGTATAAAATATAGATGGGGGTCAGATTATATTTGACCAATTTCCATTGCAAGATTTATTCAGCATACATAGAGTTAATAGCCTTAGGATCATAATTTCATTAAAAATAAGAAATATGAACAGATAAATGTCTTGTGACTCGAATATTGCTGACATGGCTGGTGTTCTGCTGAGGTGGTCCCTTGCATGGTCTTTGTTGTCTCATGCAGAAGAGGCACTTGGCTGCTAGTCAAAGGTCCCTTTCTTTATAAATCAAAAGTTGCTCAAGAGTTGCTCAATCATGTAAGTAAGGAAAAATACAAAGAGATGCATTAATATCAGCTATTTCTTATCAAGCTATGTTAACATTATAAACGCCATTGTGAGCATCTTTCTCCTACAACGTGTTACACTGAAGCTGTCAAAGGTCGGCTCTATTGATCGAGAACTGATCGATTACAAACCACTGATTGATCAGTTCACAATCTTTTCCCTGCAGAAAACAGTGACTGTCAGTCACCGCTCCCAGCAGAGCTTCTCCCCTCTCCATTCCCCCAGTGCTAACTGAAGGGACACACAGGGGAGGGGTGGGCACAGCTGGCTCTAGAGAGGCAGAGCCAGCTGTCGATCAGGTAGCGGGGTGGATCCTAACAAAATTTTAAGGATTCATAATGTCAGCAGTGCGGCCCTGCGCTGTCAGCATGTAGCGGGCAATAGCCCTATATTAGTGCACATTAGTAAATGTCCTCCTGTGACCCTAAAGAGAACTACGCTCAAAAAAGGTTTGCCCATACTTCTCCTTAAGGTACTTGAATGCATTTTTTGACATTTAACTCTTAAGTTTAGTGGCACTTTACGTCTGGATAGAATTTACATTGCACTATTAAATTCCCTTTAGTCATGGCCATTTTTAATAGGGATGCACCGATACCGGGTTTGTTTGTATCGCGTACGAGGACTGATACTTATCTTTCAGTACTCGCCTATACTGAATACCAATACCAGTACTTCCGGGAGCATGGAGCCAGCTTCCCGGCCAATCAGGAAACCGGGCAGCTGGTAATGACCTGCCTCCAGGCTTCCTGATTGGCCAGGAAGCCGACTTCATGGCCAATCAGCACTGAGCCCGCCAAACAGCATTACCCACCACTCGGTTTCCTGATTGGCCAGGAATCCGGCTCCATGTTCCCCATTCTACTCAGCATTCTGTTACAAAGTTAAATGTATAATGAGAACCAATTATTAGATTCATTCGTTTGCCATTTCTAAACTCCTGAGAAAAGATGTCGCCTGGCTGTCTCTGGCTTCATTCCTTTCTATAGTTAGCCACACATGGCTGGAAAATTGCTTGAAACTCAAGCAGTGTGTGGCATTGTCAGCATTCCTCTTTTTGTCAAAAGTTTGTTTTTTTAGTTGCCTTTTGTCAAAGGAGCTGGCCCGAAAATTGCTGGCCTAACAGTGGTTGCAGACAATCATCTGTAGTCACTGTTCCTGTATTCTGTGGGTGGGTTGACCTAGAACAGGAGTAGGCAACCTTGGTACTCCAGCTGTGGTGAAACTACAAATCCTATCATGCCTCTGCCACTGGGAGTTTTGCCTGTGGTTGCCAGATTCTTGCAATGCCTCATGGGCTTTGTAGTTCCACAAAAGCTGGAGTGCTGAGGTTGCCTACCACTGACCTAGTCAATCATTCAGCCGGTAAAGGCAGAACCCCCCATCTGCATACTTGTCTTGAATCAGGGACTGATAAATAGTAAAGGCATTAGATGGCACAAAAGCCAGGCTAATAGTACTTTCAGACAGGGAGCAATGGCAGCATCCATATTTTATCCACCATAGGTTTTCTGTCAACATAGAAGCCCTAAACCTGATGATTTTCTGTTGCAGATAAGCTGGCAACAGCAGCAAAAAATGTCAGAATGAAAAGCATTTTCTTCACCGTTTCATTCTGCTGTACAGCGCTGTGATCTCGCTTGACAAGTGACAGATTTGGTTTTTATCCTAGGAAACTGGCTTCTTTTTGGAATTCAGAGATAACATATTTCCTCTTCAGCTCTTGCTGTATAGAAATATGCCATTCATATTCGTTTTAAGGGAACAAAGAAGCTTTTTATAGTTACACCTATTATAGGAACTGAGGATTTGGGTGTTTAAAAGGCACAAGCGATGGACTGCGGAGCAAGTAAACTGCAGAAAGTTTTGCGAAATCGTGACAGTTGAGCAGTGATACTGAAAGCGGCATGGGGTGGGTCTGTGGTTCATGGCAATTACCCAGAGGGAGGTGGGAGTAGAATCAGCCGTCTGTCTGCAACTACTGATTTACAGAATACACACTGGACAGGAGTGAAGGAGGAGGAGAGAGAGATTAATAAACAGCAAAAAAAAAAAAAGTCACAGTACACCTGAACAAGGAGTGGTTGAGCCTGAAAAACAGGATCACATTATAGTTTCAATATGGCGTTCTAAGCAAACTCTTGTGGAAGGGGACTTGGTATATTTTCTGCTGAAATTGAGAGACTACCATCAACGTATTACATAAGGCTTGAATTCAGGGGGACCATCATGGTGAAAAGGAAGAAGTGGTATTGATCTACGGAGAAAAAAAAAAAGAAATCTCTACCCAGAGGGCAAAGAAGATCAATAGGCCTGCTAAGCTGGAAGTGGAGGTGAGTAACCTTATACATGCTGAGTTACAAATGTTCCATTTAACTTTCATTACACCTGAAATGAACATTTAACTGAAGTTAATCAATCAAACTTTGGAGTTTACTTAGCAATATATTCAAGTTCTCAATATTCTCTCTTAGAATCCTCCTAATGGAATGTAGTGATTGCTGCTTTTTGTTTAATCTGTATGATAAAAGTTTTTATACTCCTGAAAATGAATGAATTCATCTGAAATTAAAAACCTCAGTAAGGAAATATGCCCACGTATTAGTAATGTCTAGATCACTAAGATTACAATATTATGATACTATATTTTTTTGTAATGAGTAAGTATCAAAGTTCCTGTTACATTGTACATAATCAGAGACCGTGTCTGATAACTTTAAATTACATTTGAGGAGAAAAGAACATGAGGTGATTGGGGGGTCAAGAATTTACAAGCACTTGCCGATTGTAAGTGCATTTCCTTGATGAGTTGAAACTAACGCTGCCATCACAAGCTGCGTATGTGGACAACAGTGTGGGCATGTATGCCCCTTGGACCGTCAGCACATCACAGATCTTTAATGATCATCCGAATGTAGAGCTTCTTGAACATAGGAGTGCGCTCTTGGCACAGACCACAATTTTGAACCTTTGACCCCCTCAAAATAATGGGGTTAAAACCCACATTTAAATCAGATCTAGTTTCATAAGTGATACCTTTGACATGTGTAATTAGGTTTTAAAGGTTTATAAAGTATTATTTTAAATTTTTTATTTTGACCAAGTATACTGACTGTACTTTATAGTTTATTATGATCACGGTGATTTCATGAAAGCAGCCACTCTACACATGGGGTTTTGATTTTGTATAGAAGTAAAAGGCAGAGTTATGAGATCATTTACAGCCACTTTAAATCAGTTTCTATTACCTTCAATTATTTTTTTGTGTTTTGGGTCCCCCCAGCAATGGTTGGCCAGGGTGTTTGGTAATTACTATGTTTGCCTTATAATTAAATAGTATGCAGTGTTTGCTAGGCTTGTGATTGACAAGTTATATAACATGGATGAAATAGCACTAATATATCTAATACATATTGTTATATATTATTGAAGTTGCATCTACTAATTAGATCATAATTCAAGTCATGATAATACTTCAATCTAAAGTCAAGGGAGAAAACAATATTTCAACTTTACAGCCTAAATTGTACTTCGGGCTGATTTACTAAAGATTTGAGCATGTTCACTCAATAAATTGTGTGAATATTCACTTCGATCATCCAATCATGTAGAAAAGAAATCGGTAAGCCGGGATTTTTTAAAATTTTCTTACATGATTGGATTCTCATACAATTTATTATGTGAACACCCTCAAATCCTTTAAAAAGTCATGTTTTACTGATCCACCTAAAAGCTTATTCCAAAATTCTTTGAAAATTAGGGGCTAATTCAAAATCGAGTTGTTCCATTTAAAACAAGTTATTGTCTTATGCATTGTGGGCAGTGTAATATTTAATAAAAATCTTTTAAAAAGAAAAATTTAGTTTTTCCTTTAGTAACCAATAAGGTTTCTTTTTTAAATATAACATAAAATAAAAGTTAAAACCTGACTGGTTGATATTGGCAACAACTTCAATTCGCCAGTTTTAAAAGGTCAGCCCCTAGGAGGTCTGAAAAGTAAGGGCTCTGCTATGTGTCATCTGTTAAAGGGCTATGCCATAGACATGTGCACTGCCAAAAAATTTGTTTAGTTTAGTTTCGTTTTAAATTCGGATTTGTGTTATTCCGTTTTTCGGGATTCGGGTGTGAAAGTCAATTCGGATTCGGAATTCGGATTCGGACGAAATTCGGTAGCGGTAGTTCGAACGTTCGTTTCGTTTTCTGTTCTTATTCGTTTCTTGTTCGTTTGCGTGGGAGTGACATTTGAGGGGGAAAAAATATTTTTCTCCTTCTCTAATGTCACTTTGCTCCAACGAACGAAACGAATAAGAAACGAATAAGAACAGAAAACGAAACGAACGTTCGAACTACCGCTACCGAATTTCGGAAATGGAAATTCGGATTCCTTTGCATTCGTTATGTCTGTAATTCGGAATTTGGATACATCCGAATGTCCGAATTTCCGAAAATTCGTCCGAATTTCGATTCGGAACGAAACGAATCGCACATGTTTACTATGCCACATAAGAGTAGTTCGGTAATGGCTATGCTGTGTCATTGTAACCCCATTAAGGCTACGATGCGTAAAGTGGAATTAAACTCTAGAAAATGAGAGGTGGGGATTTTTGGGCAAAAAAAGTATTTCTTTCTACCCTAGCACGCGCCATGCTGCGTACACTCTTGGCTAATTTCCCATTCCGTAAATGGGCCAGGTGTCAAAGAAAATGTAACTCCTGTGCAATTGCGCAGGAGTAACCTCATCAGTGACTGCTCAATGGGCAAACGGCATAACTGCAGGATCTGGGAGAATCTAGAGTGGAGATGCCTGGACCTGTCACAGCTGGAAGACAGCACAGAAGGAGGTAGGTATGTGACATAATCTACTTTCGGATTATGACAAACCCCTCCAACGAAGTTTGCTTCCTTTTTAAGGAACATAATATATTAGAACATAGAACTATTACCATGGGGGGTTATTCACAAAAGGATGAAGAGTTTGGAGAAGGCAGGAGAAGTGAACAATCTAGGACAACATAGCTGAACTGGAAAGTGAGCTGAATTGGAGAATGTTTCCTAATCAGCTAAGTTGTCCTAGATTGTTTACTTCTCCTGTCTTCTCCAAACTCTTCACCCTTTTGTGAATAACCCTGTTAGTGTGTAATGGTACAGAAAACAGTCAGAGACTAGACATATACCAGGAGAAGGTCAGAGACTGCAGGTGTGCTACAGGAGATGGTCAAGGACTGCAGACATATTACAGGCCTGTTTGGAGACTGCAGACGTGTTGCAAGAGACAGAGACTGGGGGCACGTTACGTGGGACTGCTAGAAATCACTACTATTACAGTCCCTTTACAATTCTGTGCTACCTACAGTCCTCTTAAAAAATGACTGACACCACATTTGATATTATTCTAAGAAATATCCATTATAAAAGTTCAAAGACAAACAATACACAGAATGAAATAACACAGAAAAAGTAAGCAAGTGTAATAGAAATAAACCAAATCATTTAACTAATGGAAACCAGTTTACTCAACATTTTCCTTCACTGTCCCTAAGTAAAGTACTGACTATGGGCTGCTGGGGACCAAGAGCCACACATAGGCAGTCCAATTATTCTATTAGGTTGCCAATGTATTGTAACACAAATTAAACCACACTTACACCATTTTTTATAACACAGTGCACCGCAATGCATGGGGTGTGCACATATGTGTGTTGTGTTGTGCCATGACACAACTGTGGTGTGCTACAATGCACGTGCGTTTTGGTGCACATTATTATGAGTTAGGGTACTATTCAAAATGAATAGCAGTGCACTGCAACGTGCATATACTCTTGCGTCAATGTGCGTTGCTGAAATTGTTATTACAAAGCACATTGGTTTAAACTAGAAGCCCCGGTATCTCTAGCAAACGCACATATCATCTCTTTTACCTTTACCAGATGAAAGGCCTGTTAATGTATGCCATTAGGAAATGACTATGGTTTTTAAATATGTGAAATTACACAAGTTCATCATAACTGACTGTGTGTTGCATGAAATGAATCAGGAATAATTTTCCTACGCAATAGAGCACTGATTGGACTGCCTTGGTATTGCTCTCTGCTAATTTATTATGGGGTGCTCCCTCGTCACGCATAGTCCAATGAATATGCATGCAATGTGAAGACAATATTCTGAGAGTCTAGTTGTTCATAATTCATCATGTATGGTCAAACTTTGAGTCAATGTAAAGGCTATGTTGTGTAAGTGTGATCTGCAAAGCGGTTTTCAGTGTTTGATATGTTGATGGTGGCTATGCTTCGTAGTGTGAGCTGTTCAGAGTGAATTAGAGCTATGCTGCAGTGATCTGAATATGAGCTATGCAGTGAAGTATGTCTGAATATGGGCTATGCAGTGCAATGTGCCTGAATATGGGCTATGCTGTTTAGTGTGTCTAAATATGGGCTATGCAGTGCAATGTAAATGAATATGGGCTATACTATGTAGGGGTGATATATTAAGGGCTAATCAGTTTGTGATCTGTTAAGTGCTGTGCATTGTGTGATCTGTTAGCGGTAATTCTATGTAGTATATATTTTGTTCAGGACTATACTAAGAATACTATAGTGTGTCTACTTCCTTATGCTGATATACTTACTATTTTACAGAAACTTAAAGGGAGACTACAGGAAGAAAGTAAACTCTCTTCACTTACTCAAACAGCATCTTTGTTGGGAAGAAGCTGCCATACATTCATACATACCTGTATAGCAGGGACATGCGGTCAGGGGAGGCAGGTGAGGCAGAGTCTAACCTAGTATTATGGAGGAAAAAGCTGTCAGCTTGAAGTCTGAAGCTGACAGCTTTTTCTCCATTCGGACTGGCCTCTAACAGGTTACACAGCAGGGACAGCCTCCCCGCTGTGTAACCTGTCATGGATGGGGTGCTGCCTGTTAATTACAAGCAGTGCTGCAAAAACAAAAACACTGAGGACATCGATTTCGATGCCTCACCAGTGGCGTCCAAGTAAGGGACAGGGAGGCTCCTCCCTTCCTCCTTCACACTAGCTTGGTGACCGGGTTGGGG